ACATTCCACATTGTCTAGGTTTCGAAGCACAAATTCCCAGTGCAGTCTAATCCCAATGTTTGCTCAAACAGAGCATTGCCCAATGCTGGTTACTTTGAATTTTTGGCTATCCTGTTCATTCAGAGGGTTGCAATCCCCTGCATTTGTTTTGACACAGTTACGAGGGCTGCTCCACGGGGGCGGGGGTGTGTGAAATGGGGTTGTGGTCTATGTGGACAAACCGGAGGAGCATGAAAGCGCTTCTACAACATGTTCTGATGCCAATGCACCAGAAGACCTTCCATGCCAAGCTACCCAGTTTGGTCTTTGCTTAATAAAGATCAAAGTATTTGATTGCCAGGGATGTTGCAAGTCATTGACAGTCAACATCTGTGCAATACTACGACATAAGAAGCTCTTTGGGTGGAATTATCTCACTGATTGAGTCCTGCTGAAGAAAATTAATCGGTAGCTGAAATATTTCCCATGCAATCCTACGCATGGCTACTTGGAAAAACTTCTGGGTAACACATTTAGGACCGAACATGTAATGCCTCCAATGAGAAAGCAACACTAACAGTTTTCTTGACAACTCAGGGGGGGCTGCAGCAGTGAAGGTGATTCAATGCCACGGAGGCAGAATAGGGCTAATATTCTAGTGAGCTGCTCTTTCACAATTCGGAGCTGATGCATCGTTAAGAAATAGGGACACACACCTCTGTTGCGTCTTACATGGGAAGCCCCTATCCTTTTCTCTGACTCGCATTTGTGGATAGAAGTTCACTGAGCAGCTAGAGGTTTGCACAACTGGAAGGTGCACAGATTGCTGGGAGCAAGGTAGGGAGTCACTGCAATTGGCAGCGAAAGTGAGAGGAGAGAAAATAAGAAAGCAGAGCGGCAAAGCAGGGAAGACCAGAGAAAACGCGTGCATGGCTCTGCATGAGCAAGAGGCCTCCGTGTTGCTTTTCTCGCTTCCACAAAGCTGCCCAGCCAGCGAAAGGGGTTTCAGGACATGCCTGCGCAGCCCGTTGACAGCACCTGCCAACAACTTGTTAACACAGAAAGCACCACGCAGAAGGAAGTGTCGGGCTGAACCAGGCCTTATTTTGGGAAGGGCAGCTCCACATTCGCCCTCGCGGAGCACCTTGCGGCCGTGTGTGAGCAGGCGCGGACTGAGCAGTGGGCATTGTGCCCCGCCAAGGCGCCTGCCACCAGTCTTTGCCCAGGACTGATTCACTCCTGGCTTTGAGGCTGGGTGAGGGGGGAATCAAATATGTATATTGAACAATGTTCCCATGAGAAAAGGCTGGTCTTCTGATGGTAGAACATCTCCCCAGAAAGAAAAAGAAAGGAAGAGGAGAAGCATCATTTGGAAGTAAATCCAGATCTAACCAGAAGTAGACCCCACTGAGTCCAGAGGGATCTAAGGCTCATGCAAACGTCTGAAGGATCAGTGGAAGCGTGCGGGAAGCCAAAACTGGGGAAGAGGTCAGTTTCACACCACTGTGGCTGAACGCCTGCTCCTCCGCAAAGGGTTTCCAGGATCCCATGCCAATCGCCACACAATCTTGGCTTTTCTCACGCTTCCCACCCTGATTTCCGCAGCTGCAATCATCCTGCCCCTAGCAGAAACTCTTGGACAAGGTCCTTTGCATCTTTCCTGGCAGTGGGCAAGAGAAAAGGGTTGTGCCTCGCTCTCTATTTGCACACGAAATTGCTTAAGCAATTAACTGTTTCTTAAGGACAATGTTATGGCTCTCTTCCCAGAGGTAGCACAAACCTCCTGCTAGAGGGGAAAACTATACCACGAAGCGATTTTAATTAATGACCATGTTGTGCTTTTAATCACTCACTGAGAGGCTTTCCAAATTTTACTTGGGATGGGAATAACGGCTTCGACTATCCACTCTTGCATCAGGCAAACACGAGTCCACATAGCTACTGCTATCTGATAAAGCAGATATTCATCATTTTCTATCCATCTATTCGTTTATGTAAGAGCACCAAAGATCAAGGTCCCTGAAGTTAAAGGAGACAGAACTGGCATTTCTTTCTTGCCGAGGCAGAAAGGATAAAGCCAGGGCCAAACCACATGCAGCTCTTCACCAGATACAACTTTCACAATTCCCAGTTGTGTTATATCTTCCCCGAAAGGGTAGGTGTGAGGCACATGGGCCCAGCCCAGCCTGGAAGCCTGGTGGCAACAGAGGCAACTTTAACATAGTGGGTTGGTTGCCAGTCTGTCTCAAGGGCCAGAGGGCAGAGCCAAGGGTCTCCCACAGTCAGCAATCCATACTGCAGAAGCGAGGAGGGGAAAAGGCGCGTGACCTTTCAGATCCTGCGTGCAAAGAGGTGGGGGATCCATCCAGCCACACACATGCTCCTCTCCCCAGAAGCAAGTGACCTGAAGCCCATGGCTGCACAACACTGGAGGCGAAGCCACGTGGCCACACAAACCGATGGTGCTAATCGGAGAAAGCAGTCCCCGAATCCAGGCACAACCCACTGCCGAAGTGGAGGCAGATGACGGCGGCAACAATGGCAGTGGTAATACGATGTCCATCCAAAAGGCGTCCCCAGAGCTGGGAAGCCTGGCCACCCATTTCTGACAGTCCGTTCTGCATGCATATTTATTCATCTGTCTAATTTCTAGGCTGCTGAATGCAGGCTGTCTAAGCAGCATGCAACGATCAGGCACAACAGCAACACTGCAGTTCCTAGTACAAAACAAACAAACCCAGCTGCTGGTAGCAGAACGAGATCTGACAGACAACCACCTGTTAAAATCAGGTCTCAAACAGCCTATGAAGAAAGACCACTTTCACCTGGTGCCAAAACGAAGGCAGTGACAGTGCCTGGTGGACCTCTCCAGGAAGCCCATTCCGGGTGGGGGGGGGGCAGCCACTGACAAGGTCCTTCTTCTAATTGCCATCTCTTGCACTTCCTTTAGGAATGGCTCTTTCAAGAAGCCCCCATGCCCAGATCAAAATGGGCAAGTAGGTATACAAGGGAAAAGGAGGCCCTTGCGGGCTCTGGCTAGCTCCCTGGCCAGAGCTGGCCTGCCTGCACACACCAGCCATTGAGGAGCTGGGCAGGAGAGACCTTGCACCCATCCTGCTGGAGGGATCTGGTTGCCACCATGCGCACAGAGTGCTGGACTGGATGGAGCTTGGGTCTGAGCCAGCAGGGCCTTCCTTATGTTCACATGCATGAGAAAACAAGTGTATGCACCAAATAAGCAGAGTACAGGCATCCAAAATCCACAGGGCATTTCCCCAAAAGGGGATTAAGGAGGAGCATGAACAATTAAATTAAGACATGGCAGGGAAACCAAGAGAGAAGATCAAGGCTGTCACCTTATATGCACTTAGCAGGAAACAGGTCCCATAGATCTCCGTGGGGCCTAATTCTGAGTAGACCTGGACTTGCTCTGGGAGGCAGGCCAAAAAGAAAAAGAACCAGAAGAGGGAACAATTTCCTACCTTTCAGAGTGCAGTATAAAGCTGCTGGCAGGCTGCTTCTGCTGCTACTCTCTCCCCTCTCGCAGAGCAGACATCTATTTCCGTTTTAAAATTTTACTTTAAATGTACACACTGCTCACTCAGAACCTCCCGAGCTGAGAGGATAAAAGGAACCATCCTTTTCTGCCTCCACTCCTTCCTCCTCCTCCTCCCCACAAGAGAAGGGGAATCATGTGTTGCGTTAGACACAAACAGCAATTCTGCTCCCTGCCTCCCCCATGATCTGCCCCCTTCAGCAGCCCAGGGTAGCCACAGGCTCCCAGATTCAAAGTAGGATTTGCCTGTCGCTGTCCTTCCTTACCAAGCGGTGTTGGATGTTCTGCTCTTAAACATGTGCTGATTCGCATTAGCACTAAAGTGTGGCGACGGCTGTGGAACGGCTCATGTGATAATTTTAGAGCTAACCAAGTCACATGAAATGCATGTAAGTTGTTAAAGTAATGAAGCATGGAAGCATCCTGGGAGCTGCAGGCCCTTTTCTGACTCAGCTCACACCAGCTTGTGCCATAAGTGGCTTTAGATCTGCAGTGAGGGCTAAAAGATGAGAACTGCGCATTTACAAAGGTTCCTGAAATTTCCTGCTCTCCAACATTTCAGGACAATTCACATTGCTAGCCCATGCATGAATCTTGGGTGAAGAGAGTCAACACTGATGACTCATTATTGCCCAGATTCAGTCTTCCGTCTCTTGCCAAGATAAGACCTGGCAGTGAGGCCAAGAAAGGCTCCCCATTGCCTGAGAGAGACACTACTGGTCGGCACTGGGAGAAGACTGCCTTGGGCTGAATGCACCGATGTTTCGACTCGGGGTTCAGCTGCTTTATCCAGTTCCACATATTTCACGGCATTTTATTGTTTTGTTGGCAGCTTGCTGTAAACTGCCCAGAGAACTTCAGCCAGAGGGCAGTACAGAAATGAAATTATTAACAACCACCACCACCATGCCCAGGACTATCTTCTCTCGTCTCCGTAGGAGATGAAGGGTAAGTTCCAGAGGAAGATGTCCGTCCCACATTTCCTGCTGCTGAACTGTCCCACAAGCTAAGACAGGATGGGTTCCTTTCACTGCCTCACGTTCCTGCTCCTGGTTTGCCAAGCAGAGATACCTGCTGTGGTCACAGGCTCCTGCTTGGGCATCGCACAGGTCAGATTCCTCTGGTAGCACTGATTCTGGGCGTGTCTCCCTTAAAGATGGCCATTTTAGAATAAATAAACGAATCAAGCAGGCCTCGCCTTAGTGCACGGGGTGAGTTTTTGGAATCTTGGCTGAAGTCCCTTTGATCCTCAGGCATGATAGCTACTGTGAGCTTGTCCAAAGGTCATCAAAGTAGGACATGCATTCGATACAATCTCTCTGCAAACTACTCTGACAAGAGGCATGATTACAGCAGCTGAGACCCTCTCCATCTCTCTCACTAGTTCTATTAGACACACGACACACCATGAGCCAAGCAAGCACACTATGAAAAGGAAAAGATCCCCAAACAGGGCGGATGTTACCTCCCAGAGTCATCCCGGCTTCGTAGCATTTTCTCAGACGGCAGGAAGGGCAGTTTTTCCTTCGAAACTTATCAATGGTGCAATCATTCCGGCTGGCACAGAGGTACTTCTGTTTACCTAAAGAGATTGGAGATCAAACATGAATAGAAAAAAGCAATTGCTTCATTGCTAGAGAGTATCCACAGCTTGGAGACACAAGCTGAAAAAATGTTTCAGCAGAGCACACAACAACAAGAATTTCCAGGCAGGTAATTGAATCTGTATCCATTCAAGCAAAATTCTGCGACCCTGCTCTTACGCAAATCAAGGCAATTTGCACATGTGAATGTTGCACCCCACCACACCCACTTCTCCTAGTCACTAGAAGGGGGAACCAAGGATTCCCATCCTCTAACCAGTATTCACACTGGCCATCCCTCCAAGTTCCGCAAGTTCAGCTGGCTTTGCCCACATTTGCCAATAATATTGTCTGTTTTTTAGATCACAGCGTTTTTTAAATGAAAACTTAGATTTTTGGAATGCTGAATTCCATACCCAATGATCATATGTGTGTGAGTGTGTGTGTGTGTGTGTGTGTGTGTGTGTGAGAGAGAGAGAGAGAGGGAGGGAAGGGGAGGGGAGGAAACAGGGGAAACCACACCCCTGCATACGGGATGGTTTCTCTCACACTGAGCTCAGTGGACATGAATTATACACATGAGAAACCATCATCCAAGAGTTCTGTACACTTGCCTCTCACGGAGAGTCCCTTGGTGAAAAGACAGTTGCCACCACTCTTGGAATGGCAATTGTGCATCTGCTTATTGTTATTTACACTGCATAGTGCTTGTGGTGCTGAAGTCTCTGAAAACAGTGGTGTGGTGTCATGGAGTATTCACAAACATCCAGTCAGGTCAGCACACTGTTGATGGTACTGAAAGCTGCTGTGAGATCCCAGAGTACCAGCACGGCTGCATTCCCCATCTCTTTCCTGGCATACGGCATCATACAGAGCAAGTAACCAAGGCTGTTTCTGTGGGTTGAACCCTGACTGAAAAGGATCGCTCTTATCAAAAGCGCCTGGAGTCAGTTGGCAGCCTCCTTTGCCCGTGGAAGGTTCTGGAATGGGTGGCCGCCAACTGCCGACACTTGCTGCCTGCTCAAAGTTATCAAGGCCTTCTGGGTCAAGGGAGGATTTCTTCAGAAGTGGCCTCACCTCTGCCTCTCACAAGGAGGAGTAGAAGCTTCCCTGGCAGAGCCAGTTGCTCCTTCCCTGCTGGTTGCATGAGCCAAGAGGCAAGGATCTAGGACAGAAATAATTGCACGAACCTGGCCAAAAGATGATTGGATGGAGACAGTCAGATGGGGTTCTTCGCCTATACATGTGCCCAACGGGAAGCACACACCAGAATCTGACTGCATCCACCTGGAGCTGTCTTCCACCTGCACGTAAGCCATCCCTCACACTTTTATCATTCTCAGCGCCAGGATACACCCTACATGTGATCATGCCCACTGTCCAGGAGGTTTCTGTGTCCGGCAACTCAACCAGGGCTTCAACATGCCAGCCATTTCAGCCAGAAATCCTGCTAGAGCTCTCTAGAAACCATCCCAGTCCATTGGCCTCGGACCTTCTTGAGAAGTTCCCCACCTCTGAGCAGGGGAAAACTGCCACCGGTTGGATCACAGCAGGCAGTGATCTGCCCCAGCAAAGGGAAGAAAGGAAGGGCCCCTCTCCGCAGAGCTCCCTCCGCACCTCCTGATGAAAAGACCAGGTCGAGGATATGCCCTACTCCATGGGCTGGGCCAGTGACATGCTGGGGCAGACCCCATGCAGGCCAGGAATGCCTGAGTTGGGATCTCCTAGAGCCAACTTTTGGCTTTTAGGTGCAGCTTAAGGTACGGTCACGTGCCAATCTATTTCCCCAGGCCTGTTTTATTACAGGAATCGACTCAGAAGTCTGCTAAGGTGCCCTTCAGTCAATGCTATTTTCCCACCACACGGTGCACACCTGTTGGAGGCTATGCACCTGAGGGTGGGCAGGTGGGCAGGCAGGCAGGCAGGCAGACTCGATGACACAGGAAAGTCGGAAGAAAGAAAGGGAGAGAAAGGCCTCTGCTCACACTAGCAAGAAGCAAGAGAAGATTCAAAGGCTGTTATTTGGGGGAGTGGGCGAAAAGGAGCTGAGAGGAAACGAGAGCCATGCCCAGAGCTAAAACCCCGTTTAAGCCAGGATGTTCCCAACGGCTGCCTTGCCCGGGTGCATAACCGTACGTGGGCGCCCCAGCGGCCACAAGGAAGAGCAGCGTGTGGCAGACTCGTTGTGGGAGGCAGAAGAGGCTGGCGCTGTCCCGGGATGTGGTGACCGACCCCTGCCAAAGACGAGGTCCCGGGCTGGCCGGCCCCGAGCCCCTTCCACTCACGCCTCCAGCAGCCACAGTGCCGCTTCCCAGAAGAGGTCCTCGCAGCCGGTCCTTATCAGGAGGTATCCCAGGCAACTGCGACTCCCGCAGCCAGGCCTCCCACCTGCTCTTCTGCCCTCGCCCTCCCCAGGCCGCCTGGCGTCGCACAATGGTGCTCTTTGTTTGATACTGTTGACCTCCATCCGCCAAATCACAACAACCTGTAATCAGGGCCTTGTATAGAAGTCATTATGGTGCTTTTCTCTTCTAACAAGTCACTGCCTCTTTCAGGAGGCATGGTGTGATGCTGAGGCCCAGGCCTGGAAAACAACCACACATTAAAACAAAAAGCAGAAACAAAAAAGCCCCAACCTTGTAATTGCCCTTATTAGAACCTGCTTATAACACTCAAGACCCTCGGCTGCGAAGGAGAGCAGCATAATGGGGCCTGAGTGCATTAATGCAATGTTTCAGCAAGTTCTTTTAACGCGGCCAGCTCTCGGCAGCTCCTCTCCTCTCCCCCGCCCCGCGATTTCTCTCATTTCCCTCATTATCAGCTTTAAGGGCACTTGTTTGATGAGGGAGGGGAACGGAAGCACAAGAGGCAGGCCATGTGAAATCTCTCGGCTCCGGAGGGAGGACGGATGGGCAGCTGGACAAGCACGGCCGCTGCACAGAGAGGGGGCGATCTTTCCCAAACACGTGCCTTGAGAAGATGGGACCAGCTTCTGGAATCCCGGCACCCCACTTGTGGGGCTGGTGGAGCAGAGAGTTTTGGGAGTGTCCCCGAGATGCCTGTGATACTGTGAAGAAAACGCACCTGTCTTGTGTAGGATGCCACAATGAAGCACCGAGGGACAACAGTCAGGTTTGGATGCTGCAGCAAAACCATTCATGCAGCACCCTAAAGACTAAACCTGACACAAACCATCCTGCACTTTTTTGCAGAGAGAAGTTACTCTCCAGGGGATATTTTTACAGCCCTGGATAATCAGAGCAAGACTATACAGGATGACCCAAGAAGAGCCGTGATGGATCAGGCCCGGGTCGACCTAGTCTGGCTTCCATTCACATGGGGGCAGCCAGCTGCTCACAGGGCGCCCCAAGCACAAGAGCCCCTATCTCCCCAAGTTCCCCCACAAGTGGTGGCACGTGGAGCCATCCGGCTGAGCTGCCCTCAGTCGCCTTTCCTCCATGAAGTTGCCAACCCCTTTGCAAGCCAGCCAGCTTGGTGGCCGCCACTGCACTGGCTGGACGGGAATTCATAGTTTAGTTCTGCGCTGTGTGAGGAAGCCTCCCCTTTCAACCTGTCCCCAGTCGTCTGGCAACCAGCTCCATGGGATCGCCCCGTTGGGGTCAATAGTTCTGGGAGACTGAGGAAAATATCTCCAGCTCCACTTTCTGTACACCATGGATACTTTTGTACAGCTTTCTTTTGTCCCCTCTCATTCCACGTCTTCCTAAGCTAAGCAGTCCCAGTTGTTGTATCCTTTCCTTGCAGGGAAGTTGCTCCACCCCCTTGATCAATTTAGTTGCCATTTCCTGCACTTTTTCCACCTCTGCAATATCCAGTTTTTGCTGCAGTGATCAGAATGGCATGTGGAACTCTGTTTGCACAAAAACGTGCATAAGGCCACTGTGGGAGAGGCAATGTTATTTTCAATTATTTTTATAATTCTACCTAAAGAACGGTTGGCCTTTTGTGCAGCAGCCACACCCTGGACTGACATCATTCCTCCAAGATCTCTGTCTTGGTCAGTCTCTGCTAGCTGAGAGGCTCAGATATGCTATGTGGAAAAGACTTCACAGGGGACAACTGAAGAGAAGACTTACAGTTCTGAAAAACAGAAATATGTCTGCACAAATCTCCCTCTTTCGCTTACTATTTTCAGGCTGACTTGTTCTAAGCACTTCAGAATAAACTGCGCACTCAATTAACCACCCTTTAAAACATACAGAACTGTAAAAAGCTTTTATTTCCTTCTGAGCATCCCTGCTTGCCCTCCCTCTCATTTCAGTGTTTGGAAAACCTCTCAATTGCTTGATGGCAAGGCTTGTTCTGAAGGACTTTCCATTTGGCAAGCAATTAGTGATCAGTCTTCCCGATGTCAAGAGCCACAACGGGTACAAAGCACTTGCTGGTGCAGTGATGTCATTAAAGCTCTAAAATTAGGGGATGCATTTATTTTAATGGTTATTCTCAGAACATCTGCACTGGGCAACGAGCTGATGCATCCACTAATTATCTGTACAGAGCCGGAGCATCAGCTGTGGAGATGCCCTATCTAAAGTCAGGGCTTTGGTCCTTCCAGACCAGGGATGAGGAACTTGGAGCCTGCGGAGCAGCTCCCCACTGACACCCTGACGCTGGAAGACTCGTGGGAAGGGGAACCCCTTGGCATGATTTCTGATCGACAATTGAGGATAAAATCAGCATCTCCCACGTGCGCCTCTCCTCAACTCAATTGGGAGTGTTCGTGCTGAGATAAAAGCAACTCCATCATTACATCTGAAAGGAGGAAGCCACATAAATTGCCACCCACGGCTGGGCTTGCTCTCAGTTTTAAACATATAACCTTCTCATATTCTCAAGTCACGTTGAATAAGGATGGACATTCCTGCCTAGTCCAATTCTATGGAATTCCACATTTCTCACTGCCAAGTCTGTCCCATGCGGTTTCTGTGCAAACCAAGCACTTATAGAGTGAAAAGGGGGTTCTTTTTGACATGTTTTA